ATACAAAAATACATATTTGTTTATAGACATTAATAGTTTAAAGGTGGATTAACTCAGCAAGAGATTTTAACTGTAGCGACCTCAGTCTTTATAAGCTAGTAGTACTGTTCGGGCTTACAGTGTAGAGAGAGAGAGAGAGGGAGGGAGTGGGTGATTCAGGCTATTCAGCCTCTTCATTCTAACTGGCGCCGTTTTGTGGTCAGCAGGCTATTGTTTTTTAACCATACAGTCTATGGCACATTCTCAAACTGAAACTCAATGAAAAAACAATTGACTCAGTGACCCGCCCGCCACGTCATTGAGTTTGAGTTTAAGTTTGAGTTTGTCATTTCCTGTGGTCCGCAAAACTTTAAAGATTCTGATTGTCCTGAAATAAAAGTCTATGCTGCCATAAACTACATCTTCCAAAATGCATGTCGATTTTTTGACCCGAGAAGTGACGGAATCCCGCCACTAGACTGAGATGTTTCCACACCCATTACATCTCCAAACCACGTTTTGTAAAGAAAACACACTTCAATCGGGAAATGACGCGAACCTACAGCCAAACCAGCTGTTTCCAAAGATTTTGGGTGAAAGAATGGATTAGCACATGCAGGTAGCAGGGATTGTCTGAGCTAGAGAGTTGGGGGGGAAAAAATGTGTGTCCCATCACAGCCTGAGGTCACCCAGCGGCAAATCGGGCCAATCCTGTAGTGTGCGTTTTTCCAGGTAATCAAACTATTAGTAGGATGTATGCCCTCTGCACGGCTGTCTACAGATGGACTATTTGTTTTATCACTTCTGTCCCTCATGTTATTAGCAGCTCAAAATTATTTGTTTTATCAGGGTTCTGCACCTCTGGACTGTGAAAAAGTGAAAAGTTACTGTAAAAGCTCATGTTTGATGATATATGTCTTTGTTATTTACTTGAAATGTTTGAGGTTTGATTGATGAAGTAATGAGGGTTTTTAAATCTGATAAATTCATTTATTTATGTTATAATAACACAGAGACATTTTCTTACTAAGGCTATATTTTTTTACATCTGATGAATGTCCTTAACTTGAATAGGCCTACATAATCAAATAAAGAGAAGTTACGTTTGTCTTACAGTTGCATGTTATGTTTTCATGTGTGCTCAGAAAGAGAAAACTGAAACTATGAGTGCTGTAAGGTGTGTTTTGTGTAGGCTACATACATTTGATCAGAATTGTGAAGATGTCAAATATTAAAGTACAGAACAGTAACCTGTGAGGGTTTGTGGTGAACTAATATGAACTACGGCTTTACACCCTCTTTATTTTCACACTGTCGTGTAGCCGGCATTAGAGACAGATTTTTGCAGATGACTAATGATTAAAAATCCCATCAACAGGACTCCCTGAGCCAGTCTAGCTCAGGCTCATGAAACTCACATCAAACTGTGAAACTAGGCAAATTTGAATCCAGATTCGGTCACTGGGCTGCTTTTTTCTAAACTCAAATGCTTTCAGAAAAATCTTTTAGCTCTTTCGTCCAATAAGGTCCGGTCACCCACCAGCCAGAGCGCTCATTGGTCCGCAGCCTCCAGATGCTTCACCGCCGCCTTTTCTGTTTGTGTGGAGTGCCCGACTTGTTGCTTCCCTCAAATTGTTTTCCATCTTTAAGCACTGAGATGCACTTGACCTCATCAGACAAGGACTCTGGACGCACATCACTGAGATCACATCACTCTGCACTGACCTCATCATCATGGAAGGAACACTTGAAAAGCTCCTGAGGGTTTTACTGTTTGCAGCAACTGTCACCGGTAAGTTTCATGTTCTCTCCTTACAGATTTAATATTCTTTAGGCCCTATGCCTCCTATAGGCAAATCAATCAGAAGTACAGCTAAGGATTTTAACGTAAGCTGCTGACATCTCTTTTGGCCTCATCTATGTGGAGCCATTTTCATACAGTATTTGAAAGAAGACGTGGTTTAAGTGTGTGAAATGCAACACACGGGCCTGCGAGCCTCGAAACTCGGGCCAGGCAATTTCCGTGTGCCAGAACTGTGACTCTAAACACACGTCTGATTAGTCAGATACAGATGTACGTCGTACAAAAATGCACATTGTTGCGTTAGTGTGTTTAAACACCACATCTGTTTAGTTAAGAAGTTATACATTTAAGCAAGTTATCTGCAGCATTACATTCAGTTACCATTGATCTATTTGCACTCCGGAGAACGTTTGGTTTTAAAGTTCAAAGAAATACGTTGTCCCACTTAATGTGTGCTCTGCCAACATTTTTGTTTTGAATTAAATTATTTATTTTCCAAATTCTCTAGGCTTCTTTAGTTCTGGTTACAATTTGAAATTGAAATATTCACAATTAAGTGTTCTAACAGTTTGATAATGCAGTGTGACAATTTACCTGCCGATGGGGCAAATTGTCACAAGTGCACACTCTCTATTCAACAGTCTACAGCTCCATAATGAGATAAGATATGAAGATGTAATGAATACAAAACTTCTGCCCAAGAACTCATTCTTTCATTTGGTATGACATTTGTACCATTGTGATGTATGGTGACAACATACCCCGCTTTCCTATCTATGCTCTCCCATCTATGCTCTCCCATCTATGCTCTCCCTGCAGCTCTCGGTGTGCAGCAGTCTCTGAGAGCGTCTCCCTCTTATTTTCTCATAGCAGTCAGCCTTGGCAGCGGCTGCAGCTACAGCAGGTCAGTCATAGTGAGCCGGTCCCAAATACTGCACTGCAAAAACTAAAATCTAAGTAAGATTAATTATCTTAATTGAAGGCAAAACATACTTGTGCGACCCTGTACGCAGGATAAGCGGTTGACGATGGATGGATGGATATATCTCCTTTGTTTGTTATAATAAATCTAGTCACAGATCACCTCCAGTAGTATCAGCAGCAACAAAAGCAGCAGCAGCAGCAACATCCCCAGTAACCCCTCAACAGCAACTGTTCCCTGTAAGTTATGTCAGCCCACCGTGTTTTAAAGCTAGATATGGGTATTCTGGCCTGCTCTTAATTTCGCTACATTTTCCATTCATACCTTTTATAACTTCACCAGTCTGTAATCTGCATTTTGCTTCATTAACCACATGAGCTCATCCAGGCTGTGTGCGCGCAGTTACGCAGTAAAGCGCTGGTCGGGCGCTTGTCACAGTCACAGTGCAAACGTTTAGAAAATCAGGCAAATATCTTTTCAGTTTAAGGCTTTATGTTCTACTAATACAACTGAAATCTAGTGAGCGCACACCATGGCACTGGAGACCGTGCTGGAAAGCAGCCTGCGTCGCTCTTTCACGAGCCGACAAGTGAAAAACTTTCACTTTCCACTACCATGGATAGTAGTGGTGCAACGGGTTGCAGAATCTGTGGTATGGATCCCTCCCACACAGTGCGGCACGCAGGTGGACCGCGGATTGATTGCAAAGTTTATGATTTATCCTGTTTGACCTCTCAAACTATCCTTTATTCTGGAAACTTCAGAGAACCCAGTTAGATTCTGAATGTGCAGAACTTTAAACGTGAGCAGAAAACCTGCAAACACAGGAGTTATTAAAGTCCAGGAGTTTATAACTGAATTAAAATGATTTAATTTATTATTGATTAGGTAAAAAGGTGCCACAATCAGTCAGGCCTGCGTGTGTGTTGATTCAGCAGTGATGAAATTAAATGTTGATCTACAGGAGAAACATATCTGAAAGCTGAGAGCTGCTCTGCATTATATTCTGTTACAGTTTTAGATTTTAAATTGTTTTATTGTACCTTTTATTAAACCAGAAAAAACTATTTTTTTCAAGAGTGTCCTGGCCAAAGCAGGCAGTAGTACAATCGCACATCTAAGATGAAAATTAAATAATCAGTTACAAGATCATAAAATATCCAAATATTCTTAAATATTCACCACAATTCAGCAACACTTGAATTTTGTGTGTCCCTTTACATAAATAATTTCCATAATAAATTGATGCAGAAAAGGCAGAAATTGGTGCAGAAAAACACCAGAATGCAGGAAATTATGGGTTACATATCTGAAACCTGCATGTTATTGTTAAATACAATACTTATTCTCTAAGTTCTGCATTATTTGTAGATATTATTGTGCAAATTCTATTTTTCTGACATAAAATATGTCACCATGGAGTATTTAAGTGGACTGATGTGTTTAAACGTCAAGTTGTTTTTTATGCATTTCCTGAGTCACAGATGTGATTGGAGAGTGATATTCATTAAATTAGCCTATTGATTTTATCATGTCATTACTTGGTAGCAAAAGGTGGAAACGTTCTCATGCTTACTTTTGTGTCTTTATATTTCTATTCCATTATAGATCACTATCACTTAGTCACTTTAACTGCAAAACCCTAAAGTCTGAATGAATCTTTGAAGTGGGGCTACCAGCAGAGTTTCAGGAGCAGTACCACACATCAATGACGTCACTTCCGGCTTTCCATAAATACCCACACAACGCATTCCCTCTTCTTCGCTTTCGCATTCCACAACCATCCCACCCACCCCTTTCTCGGTCCGGTCTCCTCATCTCCTTCATCTACATATAGGGTTATATGGAGGTCCGTCGTGCCCGGGCGCTACGCTGATTTCCCTTTCGTAGCTTCCCCACAACGCTTTAAAATGTCTATTCAGCTACTGCAAGCATCATACATCTTCTGTTTCTTTATCAATAAATCATTTAATTGTATCTGTTGATTGTGGTCCTTGCTAGTGAAATAAGCTTTGGGAGGGCCAGTGTTGTGGATTTTGCAGAAACCAGGCTGTTCTTCAGAGGCTTTCAAACTGTCTAAATAGAATGTTTGTTTCCTCAGGAGAGCCTCCTGCCATGTACCAGACTCAGCTGATAAAGGCAGCAGAAGGTGTGATGTGACTCTTCAGTGTCGTCTGGATCCTCCGGTCAGCCTGTCTGCTTTCACCGTGGACTGGACGAGACTTGACAACAAGGATATCGTCCACGTCTATCGACATCAACAGGACGATCCTGATCCACAGACGGATCATACCGAGGCAGGACGACTCTCCTCCATGAAGACCTGATCAGAGGAGTCCTGACTCTGCACATCTCCTCAGTGAAGCTGTCTGACAGAGGACTTTACAAAGGCTTTGTCCCAAAGCTGAAGACCAGCTGTGTTGTTGACCTCATTGTTGGTGAGCATGCTGAATTTAATACTGTTCAGGTTCATTTAATTCAAAGTGTATATAACGTTGTTCCTAAATAGACCTCTCTCATTAGAAATGGTGGGAAAAGACCAGCAGAACGAGACAAAGAGAGATTATTCCAGCACAACTGGACCTCCAGAGGAAGAAGAGACCGAGCCAGACGGTCGTGGTAAATGTCTTGGAATATTTCTTTCTTTGTTCAACTTTATCCTCTGAGTGCAAGATGATCTGCTGTGTGGAAATGTGCAGCAGGTCTGAACATTTAATGTGAGCATTTCTAAACGTCACTCAGAGTGGTGGAAGTGCAAATGTATGACAGTGAAAATTACCCTATTACAATTAAAAGTCCTGCATTTAAGCACAAAAGTATCATCAGCAAAATGTACTTAAAGTATCAAAAGTACTGGTTGTGCTGTAAAATGTCCCCTGTGACTGATGTCTGTCTGACATTATTAGCTTGTTAATTCTGATGCATCAATGTTAATCAATTCAATTCAATTTTATTTATATAGCGCCAAATTACAACAACAGTTATCTCAGTGCTTTTCATAAAAGAGCAAGTCTAGACTGTACTCTATGATGTTATTTACAGAAGCCCAACAATTCCCACCAAGAGCAGCACTAGGCGACAGAGACAAGGAAAAACTTCCTTTTAAAAAGGTTGTATTATGCTTTGTGGCTTTTCCCCTCTCCTTTTTTGAGTTATATCTCTTTTTTGTGCATGTAACAGGTTTGCAAAGTGAAAAAGCCCAAAGTCTAGCCCAAAGGGAGTTCCCATCTCCCACAGAAAGCTCTGCTCAGAACCGCTTGAAAACAGCTCGTTTGTAGTCCAGCCCTTCACTTCCTTTACTTGTGACATCACAATGAAAACGCGTCATAAAGCTTGCCAAGCAGCTAGCGGGTCAGGCACGCCCTCAAACCAAGCTAGTCTGAGCGGAGGCCCTTTGGCTCGACTCGCCTTTGTTTGGTTTTCCGTTGTAGAAATGTTGTACCTGTACCTGCTTCCAGGTACTTTTTTCGTATCACCTCACCTCCGTCGAGGTTCCAAGCCAGTTGAGGGATACTAAAATGTAACGTGAAAACACGACAGACTGCTGATTGGTCAGAGAGACTCGTCACTATTCACTGCATCATCATTGCTGCGCCAGACAGAGGCCAGCAACAGAAAGTTTTATATTTTACAGTTTTCGTATGGAATTTCATCACTAAATCCACTTCTGAGAAGTTGAGGTGAAATCAGTTGTGTAGATTTCAAATATTGACAGTTTTACGAGAAGTGATGGCGGAACAAAAAAGTGCTTGAATATTTTCGGAGTTGAGGAGCTCCGCAAGTGGCTGCGGGGGAAGCCTGCTGTGACCCGCGGGAGGAGCGCGTGAGGCCTGGCCAGCCGCCCGCTCACAGAGCCCTCTGCTCCCGCCGTCACACAGACCGCTGCAGCAACAACTGCAGAGGAAAACACAGCTGGAAGGTTTTCATAGCGCTTATCTGTCTTTACATTCTGAGGAATGTTGAAATGTTTTAACTTAAAAAAGAGAAAGCTGTGTGGATCTCTGGTGTGTGTGTGTTGAACATTACGCCGCGGTAGTTGTGTGTGGCGTCGCTATGACGACAAGCTACGTACTATCTCTGGGTACTATCTGCAATGGAAAACGGAGCAGGGCCGAGTAGAGTCGAGCTCTAAATCCTGACTGAAAATCCTCAAATAAACTGTTGCTCTGTAGAAAGTCACACAGCTGTTTAGCAACTGCTTTCTCCAGGAGCTTAGAGAGAAATGGAAGGTTAGATATAGGTCTAGTTGGCTAAAACATCTGGATCAAGGTTGGGCTTTTTCAGAAGAGGTTTAATTACAGCTACTTTAAAGTACTGTGGTACATAGCCTGTTGATAAAAATAGATTGATCATATCTAGTATAGAGGTGCTGACTAAGGGTAAAACATCTTTAAGCAACCTAGCCTGCCATAGCACACACATCAGTGACGGTGTTTGGATGCAGTCAGTAGATGAGCCAGAAATACAGTGATCACAATGTTGCCTAGTAAACCAAAGTCTGGTATTCAAAAAAGGAAAGAGCGAAAAAAGAGAGAGGAAAGACAACAAAACGATTAGCAAATATTCATATTAAATCATTGTCCCTGCCCCTTTTAGCAGACTAACAACAGATGAGTCTCTGTAGCCTCCCTGTCCCAGTGAAGAAAGTGAGCAACACTGTGTTCATGACAGGCCAGTTAGCATCATTCAGGGAGTCTGTGGGGATTTCTCTGTCTCTCTTTTTACCATAACAAAAAAGAAAATGAAAGATTTATTAATGACAGAAATTCAAACACAAATTATTTTCTCACATAATTATCATTATGAAATAAATAAAATTTAAAAAACACCTTCCTGTCTGCACTGGATGCTGGACAGCAGCTTACCTCAGCCTGCATGTAAGTTACAGACTATATTAAAATAATTCAGTTTGATACGTTCATTTAGACTGAATTATGGCCGTTAGTGACATGTATTCATACAGACTTTATTATTCCCATCATGAAGGGCAATTTAGTTGAGAAGCAAATAGTGAACTGAATCCTCTTGTGCTAGTATTAATACTGAACTACAAGAAGCCAGTCACTTGCAAGCCTTTAATTAGAGTTATGTAAAGCTTTTGATGGAACTGTTAAGTAATAGAGATTTGGTGACAACAGCCGCGCAGAGGGGGTCCAATTAGATTTTTTTGTCATGGGGCCCAAAATTCCTGGCGGCCCCCGTGGTCGTAACTATTGAGAGCTATGGGAATACTTGGCTCAATAGAGCTGTGACTCTCTGTCAGCCTGGCTGACAGTGCTGAAAAGAAACCTGGGGTTGTTCCTATTTCCTCTATTAATGACGAGTAGTACGCTGCTCTGGCATTACGGAGGGCCTTCCTATAAGTTTTAAGACTATCTTGCCAAATTAAACGAGAATTTTCCAGTTTGGTGGAACTTGATAATGAATTTAGAGCTGATGGAATCGCATCTTAAATTTAGCTACAGCACTATCAGACAGACATCTTGCATAAAAAAATTTGCCCAATGGTGTTTAGTTCAGCAATACAAACTCAAAAGTTATCAAACAGCGGTCAGATAAAGAGGAATTCTGTGAGAACACTATTAAATTTCAATACCAGAAACAGGTCGAGGGTGTGGTTAAAACAGTGAGTCAGTTCATGAACACTCTGAGAGAAGCCGATGGAATCTAAAAAAAATAAACACAGTACTGAAGCTGTCATTCTCAACATCCTAGAGCAAATCCCAGCTGACATCGGGCGAAAGGCTGGGTACACCCTGGACAGGTCGCCAGTCCATCGCAGGGCCACACATAGATGAACAACCACTCACACCTAAGGACAATTTTTAGAGACACCAATTAACGTAGCCTGCATGTCTTTGGATGGTGGGAGGAAGCCGGAGCACCCAGAGAGAACCCACCTTCTTGCGGCAGAATAACGACATACATGTCATCACTGGTCAGATTTGGCAGGGGTCCAGAGAAAACTACGGTGTCCGACATTGTTTTTGCATATGTACACAGCGACTCAACATTAATCTTAGTGACCTCCGATTGGTGTAACCACAGGCTAACTCAGGCTGTTCCGCACCGACTACCGGGGACTGACTAGCTACAGTAGCTAAAAACTTATATACCAAGGTGCGGAGCTGGACTTCTAAATCACTGAGCCTCGCCTCCATGTCTACAAATAAACTACACTTGTTACACGTACCACTACTGCTAAAGGAGGCAGAGGAGTAACTGAACATCTGACACGCCAAGCAGGAGAAAGTAGGAGAGGGAGAAGGAGAAGCCATTGCTAGCTGCTAGGCTAAAGTACAGTAGCGTTGGCTACCAAAACTTTTGAAAACAACTATGAGATTAAACAGCAGTCACTAAAAGATGGAAAGAACTGTGGGCTGGGATCATTTCCTCTGTCTTTGTTATTCTCTGCGTTGTTGTTGTTGTTGTTCTGCTTCTGAGGATGAACGGAACGATCCGTAAGTTAGAAAACAACATGTGAAGTCCAGGAGGACTCTGAAAAAGGAAGATACCAGTGATACTGATTTATTTTCTATGGTTTTAAATGTTTAACATATGTTGCTTTATGTGCACAGACATTTTAACGACGCCAAACGGATCTGAAATGAAAAAGGTGAACACCCAAGCAGCGGACGAGGACCTGGAGGGGTTACGTGAAGTTAAGTGAAGTGTGAAGAATATAAAAGGAGGGTAATCTTTAAGTCATATATTTTTATGGTTTTAATAGGCCTATAGGGTATTGATCAACTTAATTATGAAAGTTATGTTTGCTAAGAAGTTGGGATAAAAAAAAGTAAATCTTTGTTAGTACGATGTCTTTGTTTCCTCTGTAAATCAAACTATGTGCAATAGTTTCCTCCTCACAATCACAAAACAGGCATGTGTTGAATGGTTGGTAAGAAATTCCATATTAGCTTTCTTAAACAGAAACTCCTTAAAGGCTGCCTTTCGCCCAATGGCAGCTGGGATTGGCTCCAGCCCCCTGCGATCCTGTACGGAGTAGGCTACATCTTCAAACTGCCTCTCCAACTTTGCTTGTAATCCCAACAATCATTGAACAAATGGCGCCATCTATTGGACAAAACCGACTACAACCAATTCTCACTATGATGGTGGACGTTTGTGTAAATAATTGTTGTGTAGCAGAAGTGACAGGGTCAATTTACAGCAGGGGGCTTCTGTGTAATTAATATGTACGTTTGTCTGCAGTTCAGCATTTAATATATAGAATCGTGGGTGAAATCTTTAAATAGTCCTCATGAGGTCTCCACAGTGGAGTCTGAACGCTGCTGCTCTCTAGACGCACTAAGCCTCCTCCCTCTCTCTGTAGGTCTGTGGTACCCAGTGCAGGTTGTCCCAAAAACCTTTTTTATTTTTTTTATTGAAATTTAAAACACAAAACAGTCGGAGGCTGCTGTATAAGAAGAGAACATACATAAATAATAACACAGGAAGGACATAGCGTAATAAAACATAAATAAAAGTCAAAGTAATATATCATCTGTCCAAAAGAACTTTGTCAAACACACAGTTAGTTTGGATTGCCTTCTTGTTCTTAACGTTTTTAATTGTGGTGCTATACTGATGCAGTTCTTAGAGAAAGTGTCCATAGTGTG